TGACTTTAGATTTGAAGGTTTCAATGCGTCTTTCAGTCTTTGGGTTGACAGTGATAAATGGTTTAGACATTGTATTTACATGATTTGTTATTGAAATTAACTGTCCGCAATGATCTGAATCAAGCAATGATATAATTTGTTTCTTAATTGGTACAATGTCAGTATAAATATTATCCAGGCAAGTGGCACTAGTGGGAGTTATCCTAGTGGGCTCCAGAAATAAGTTCGCAAGGTTAAATGAGGCAAATAAACTTACAATTTTAGTGCTTAGACTAGAATTCTCTAACAAATTTACATTAAAATCGCCACAGGTAATGATGAATTTATTTGAGCTACTGAGTTTATTTAATACTTCATCTATTACTGTTTCAAAATAGTCATACAAACCAGAAGGTGGTCTATACACACTTAAAACAATAAACCGCTCTAATTCCACACAAGCTATTTCAACAGTGCGTTCAACAGAGTAACTAACTATATCCTTGCGTTCTTTAAATTTAAGTTTGTTATTTATTAATATTAGTGAACCACCATGTATAGCGTTCTCCCTGCTGAACGAGCTACCAATCTGGTGATTACCAAAATTGAACATTAGTTGATGAGATTTCAACCAATGCTCAGTAATACACAAAATGTCAACATTATTACAATTCAAAAATAACTCTATTTCTAGTTCCTTGCTCATAAAACCTTGAATATTTTGGTGAACCAGACTGATAACACTACTGTTTGATTTGCAAGAGGTTCCCTCTATTGTCTTACTTTTTAATTTAAATTATTAGAAATGTCAATATTTATTGAATTATTATTAATAATGTCAATATTTGAAAGTTGCTCAATAGGAGCAACCTGTTTAGCCAAGTTCTTGGCTGTAATATTAAAAAAATATGATAGCGACACCGCTATTCGTCTTATATAATATTTTGAAAGATAGTACCTATCTTTAGTCATATATAAATTTTTGCCAACTAAATTGTTGGTGTCCATTACATGTATGTTGCTATTATTACATAAATTATAGATAGCAATATTTAGTTTAAATCTTAAATTGTTTTCTTCCTGTGGCAAGCTATTACTATAAGGTAATGTAAACAAAATGATCTGCTTTATTTTAAGCTCTGTAAGTGAATTATAAAATTGCAATAATTTTTTTTTATTTAAACTACCTCTATTTCCACACATAATTATGAGGGTAGAATCTTGTTTAAAACTATAATTGATAATTTTTTCCAAAATATTACTAAAAGAATATCCGGGCATACAGTGATTCATTATTGATTGTCCAGGACAAATATTTGTCAGTAAAGAACCTAAGTTCTTCCCAATCTCATCACTGAAGATTACAATGTTATTGTTGTTTGTACTGTTACAATGGCTAGGAATCAATGAACTGGCACCTTGAGGTAGGGTGGAATCACATGCCGGCATAGAACAAGCAGGCAGTACATCATCAGAATGACACTTCTCACACTGGTTTTCCTGTGACCGCACTAACTCATTCATTGCCAACATGTATTCCCTCATTTGGTTTTCAGATGCACTATATTTATTGGTCATGGTG